CATTAGAAGCTCTTACCATAGTCTAGACAGGAGGTGCAGAGGACTGGATCTGGGGCAGAAGCAGTGTGGATGGAAAATACAGTGTATTGATTAGGATGGGAACTAGGTGCTATAGCCAACTCCAAAGTGTATAATGGTCCTAACATAGAATTTTATTGCTTATTCATGTAAAAGCTAAACGGCTATTCCTGTTCTCCTTCAGTGTTGATTCAGGGACCCAGGCTCCTTCCAGGTTGTGGCTCCACCATTCTGAACACCACCTCCATGCTGGCAGAAGGAAAAAGAGGAAGTGAACAAGACATACCCACACCCTGAACCCTCTGGCACAAATGGATGGATAAGAACCATCAGGAGGCACAATGAATGGAGAAGGGGAGGAGCCACAGACAACTTACGGGTGATAAAAGTGTGGTGGGGCCATAGACTGGCTTAGGAGCTGATGGATGCAGTGACTCCCTGGAGCCTAGTTGCCAGTAAGCCCCAGAAGATCATTTGGAAACAGGGTGGGCATTTAGAATCCATGGGCAATTATGGTAACGTAGAAGTCTTATCACATTCTCCACCATATCTGTGGGATTCTTTTTTTTTTTTTAATGTGGGATTCATTTTTAACTTGTCTCCAACCCTTTCTCCCAGCAAATGGGCGGCCTTGTTTCCAAGGAGAATCTTAAAATCAGTGAGTGGTTCCAGTTTCCTTGTTTATTGCTTGAGGCACAGTCCTACTGGATTGCTGGTAATAATTTTTACAGCCAGCTAGAGGCCTCCGCGGAAAAAGCTCTGATGGCTCAGAGGGCCAGTGCTTATGGCAGGGGCCTACTACAAGAGACAACAAGGGCCCAGGAAGTAGGAGGGAGGTTCCTGTTGACTCAGTGTGAGAAGAGGAGGAAGAGCAGAAGAACAGCCAGCAGCGTTCAGAAACAAGGAAGAAGGCCACCCGCTTGCTTCGATTTCTCTGGTAAATATTTGACTGGATGTTTGCCTTTTCCGTGAGTTGTCTGGGTGCTGTGAAGAGACCGGGGTGGAACTCCGGACTGTCAGAAGCAGTCATAACCAAGAGGCTGGAGAAGCTCAAAGGACAACCCGAGAAGCAAATCGCTCACCGGGGCTGCGGGTGGTGCTTTCCCACCGAGATGATTTCCACAGCCGAGAGGTGAGTTCCGAGACAAGGTGTAAGACCAGTCATGCTGGACAACCGTGTGTCCTGGCAGCTTCCTCCTCTGATGTGGGTGGCTCATGGAAATCGGGAGAAAGGCCTGGTTTCGCTAGTTTGTGCAGGCTGGCACAGAGGAAAGAGTCATGGGTAGGGTTCTTGGATAAGTGAACAGATTTCGTTCATCTTCCTTTTGGAGCCACGGAGTGGAGTGGGAAGAGTCCAGGCATGGTGTTGGAGGACCCGGGTTTGAATCCTGGCTCTGCAGTTTCTGGCAGATCTCAATAAATCGGGAGTAATAACCCCCGTCCTTCTTAGCCCACAGCTTTGTGGAGATCACCGAGAACAGAATGTGACAGGACTTTGTGAAGTGTAAAGTCCTGCCCAGATGTCAGGAATGAAGAGTTCTCATTCAGCCATACAAATGTCTAAGATCTAAGAACGGAAAAGACTACTCCAGATATACACAAACTAGAACCTTCGCTCTCTGGGGTTATGGTGTATCCGTGTAGCTTGTCAGGGGATGCTGTGGAAGGCAAAGGGAGAGAAGGAGTCATGAGAACACGGACAGGCATCATGAGAGTCACTTGGAGAAGGAGATCCCTGCAGGCACAGGCACAGGCACAGGCGGGAGGGAGCCAGAGAGCAGTGCATGGAAAAGGGCACGTGACGGGAAACAGACCAGAGATCAGCTTGGTGGACGGGGACCGAGAGCAGGGAGTCAGCTCGGTGGGTGGGGGCATGAACTAGAAAGCCCAAGGGAATTGGTCTCTCTCTTCTCTCTCCAGCTGGGTTCCTTGGGCTGAGAGGGACCAGGGGAGTGATGTGCTGGAAGATGGACTCTTAGGAAGTTGGTCAGAGAGTGGGGAATGGGTTGGAGAGGGGCATGCTGGAGGCAGGAGACCTGGCAGGAGGCTACTGCAAAGTCCAGGTGAAGATGACAGTGGCCTGGACTAAGCAGGGGGCTGTAGGGATCGAGATGTCTCTGAATTTGGTAGTGATTGGAGGGGTTGAACTGACTGGGCTTGAATGGGAGTGACTTGGAGAGGAAGGAGTTGAGGATGACTCAGTCTTTGGCTTAGACTAAAGGGTGGATGATGGTGCCATTCCTGAGGGGAGGGCCCCCAGAGGAGGAGCAGGTTGGAGGGGGTGTTCCATTGGGACATGTTGGACTGGAGTGCCCGTGGGACATCAAAAGGAGATGACCAGGAGGCAGTCAACTGGCTTCATGGTCTGGACTCAGAAAAGTTGGGCTGAACCCAAAGAACTTGGCCCACCTGAGGTGCCAGTGTGGCCTCTGGGCCCCTGACATTTATTTGAAGTCGGCACCATACTCCCCACGCATCCCTCTCAGGGCCTTCTTTCCATCACGGTCATCTCCCTGGACGTGGGCTAGCTGGCCAGGGCCCTTCTCACAGGGCGGGCTCAGGCCTGAGCGTGTTGTCAGACTTGTCTGCCCAGTGAAGATAAGGGGTCCCTGTCTTCTCCAAGGACCACAGACACAGAACCCTTTTCAATGTCTTAATGTAATTTTGTGTGTGAATATGTTTCCTGTGTAGAAAATATAACAAGGGTTCAAATGATAGCTCTGCTGCTTTCTAGCTGAGTGACTTCGGGCATTTACTTCTTTCTCTCTAAGCCTCAGTTTTCTCATCCATGAAGTGGGAATAATAATCCGAGCTGCCTAAATTGTGAAAGGATTAAGTGAGATAATAACCATAGAGGCCTTAGTTCAATGTCCAGCATGTGGCAAACCTTCAGTATGTGATAGTTATTATTTTATTAAGTGAAAAGAAATGAAAACAAATGTTGCTTTATTGGACAGTTAAACATGGTAGGGAGTAGAAAACTGGGCTTCTGTCTTCTTCAAGCACCTTTTCTTTCATGTCGCTCTCTCCAAACTTTTCAGGCATGTGTGAAAGCACCTGAAACACACCCCCTGGAGCTGACCTTTCTGAGCTGTACCGTAAGCTCAGAATGAATGGGCAAGGTCAAGGCACAGGAGAATAAACAGAGATCTGGGCACAGAGGAGGAAGCAGGGAGGTCCTGGGAGAAAATGGAATAAAGACAGGCCAACTGATACCTAATCTCTAATCCTCATGGCTTAAGTTAGTGCCTGTGTGTGAGCCCCACTGTGGGCCCGTGACAGCCTCTCTCTGACCTCGCTCTGAGGGTCCGCGAGGCCTGGAGAATGGGGATGCTGCGTCAGCTGTAAAGCACCGTTCTTTCCCGCGGTGCCTGTTGCTTGGCACGGGGAAGGTCCCACCGCTGGGCCCCCGTGGAGAGCTCTGTTGCCGACCTGGCCGAGCTGATTCTGTTTCTATGAGATGGTTAACCAGCTAGTTCTGGTGGAGCCAGGGGACCCAGCCAGGGGACCCAGCTCCTTGGTACAGTGGCTCCCGTGTCTGTTGATAATGCCGGTGCCACCCCAGGAGAGCATCCCAGAGTCTGCTGGGGGCCGGGCTGCTGCTTGGAGTCCCCACTCCCACCTTGTGAAACAGTGTGTGTGTGGGGGGGAGGTAGTTGTAGGGAAGGTGGAAGCAGGCCCGAGAACCAGCATGTGTGGTGCTTCTCAGTTAACAAAGCGCCATTCCTACTCGTTCTCTAACGGCCCAGGGAAGCGGTGGCATCACTCCCATTCTACAGACGAAGCAGCCGAGGCTTCAGGAGGAGAAATGATTCACCCAAGATCTCAAGGTGTCTGTCTCCAAATCCCGGCTTTTCCCTCCAGGCCGACCTGAGGACCCACACAAGCATAGAAACACCCGAGACACGCCCTCTGAGGCAGGGTACTGACCCAGAGCTGACCTTCCCTAGCTGCACAGCAAGGTCAAAATGAATGGAAGAGGTTGAGGCAAAGAAGAAAACAGAGATTTGGACACACAGAGAAAAGAGAGTCTGTCTTTCACTGTAGAACTTTTCCCTGATTCTCAGAGTCACAGAAAGTGACAGACGGAGACAAACCAACAGGCAATTAGAGAGCAAGGTAGACAGAGATGCAGGCGACTCTCTGGGGAGGCTGTCAGAGGCAGGCCTGAGGGCGATGGAGGGGGGCGAGAGAGGGAGGTGGGCCAAAGACACTGTCGGCAAGGTGGCAGGCAGCCTATTCGGGTTGTATGATAGTCATAGACTTAGTTTTATTTGAGAAACATAAACTTCTTTTTAGGAAAGTGTGCAAGCTTATACAAAAGAAGAGACTAGTGTAAAGAACACCCACATTCCCATCACCCAGCTCCAACAGTCGTCAACGCACGGCAGTCTTATTTTGTTGGTCCTCCCACCTGCTCCCCCTCCTTCAGACAGCCTGTCAGTTCACCGTGGATTTCACTCACAAAAAGAAGTGTACTTCCCCCCGTGGAATTACTGTGCTGTGCACAAATGACCTGTCACACATTTACCCTTAAATCGTCACAAGTCCCTGCGATTCTCACATCTTTGTCCCAGGAGAGCTCAGACCGCCCTGGCCATAGGAACAGAAAATTAGGTTGATGAGACATAGAATGTGACAGTTGGGAATTACATGATCATCCACATTGCCCGAGTTTTAAGTCCTGGCTCCCCAACTCACCAGCTGGGTAAGCTTGGACAAGTTTCTTTTGATGCCTCAGTTTCCTCACCTGTGAAATGGGTTGATAACAGGACCTCTCTCTCCGGGCTGCTGTGAGGATGAAGTTAGTTAATAATAAAAGGATAACCCTTAAAGGGTAAGCTTGGTTCACAGCAGGCCCTGGAGAAATGTTAGCTTCCCATCCATCCATTTGGGAATATCAGTGAGCACCTGCTAGTGCCACATGTCAGGCTAGGAACTGGGCACATGGAGATGAATGCCCCCGAGAAGCTCCCCATCCACTGGGGACATAGACCCATAAAAAGACATTTCTAAACAGTGGGCTGGCTGCTGTGACAGTGGGCTAAGTCCAACTTCACAGTTAACAACTGACTAGACTGAGACCCATGAGTCCCCTGAGCCTCAGGAGCCACGGCACTGAGCACCAGGGCTGGGGTAAATGCCGCTGGTTTCCTGGCTGGGCCTCTTTTCAGGAGGGCCTCCGAGGAGGCCGGCGGCTGGGGAGGGCAGTGGGACGGTTCTGGGCAAGGCTGCCCTGCTTTGGGCCACCCTGCTAGCAGCATGGACTTGGGAGACTGGTCACAGGGCCAGGCATGGGTAGCCGCTCTGGCTACTGGTTAACCAGGTGAAGGACTTCAGTCCACTGTGTGGTCAGGAGTACAGGGTAGGGGAGCTCCTGACACCTCACACCTAGCAGGAGGCCAGGGATGCCAGCTGGCTGCCCACAATATGCGCTTGATTGAGGCTTGGGGAGGGGTGCTCAGCCCGGGGAATGGCTGACCCGAGACACTCCAGGAAACAGAGGAGCAAATGGTCTGGGGTCTGAGGAGTTAGAAACACAGCCAGTGAGAGTCTCCTTTTCTTTGGCCAGAGCTATTCAAAAGCAGGCAGTGGAGAGAGAATGAGGATCAATTCTCACTGAACACTGAGGCTGTTTTCCAGGGAAAATGATCTCTACTAGTTCCACCACTTCACAACCTGGGATCATACTGTTTTATCATTTTTTTCCATTTAACAGCGTATCATAAACGCATTTCCAAGGCATCACCACTTGAAAGTGGGCCTTCTACATTTGGGGGTGCTGGTTTGCTGCTGCCCAGCAGGTGTTACCCACCCCACACCAGACCTGCCCCACCAGCCCTGGACTCACACGGAAGCCTGATGGGCCTCAGAGACCAAGAAAGTGTCTCCGTGGCTTTCTGAGTTGGGTTGGCTCGGGTGCATGCTTCATGTGTTCACCGAAGTGGCTGCTGGAGCGGAAAGTGGCCAGTGGCACCAGCCTCTGAGGCTGAGGACCCCTTATTTATAGGCTGCACTACCCACCTTCCTTGAACTCACCTGACCGGGAATCAAACCAGGGACCTCTTGATTCATAAGTCGACACTCAACCACTGAGCCACACAGGCTGGGCCCTGGTTGCTTTTAAATCCTTCTCCATTTAGATTTATTTTTCCTATTGCTTGAAAGTTTCTTCCAATATTTGTCTCAGAGAGGGTCTTTTGCGTAATTGTGTTTCTAAAAATGGTCTATATATACATACATAAACTTATTTATATAATAAATTCACATTTATAAATTTAGTTACATTGTAAATCATATAAGTGTAAATATATTAATATTTATATTATTTTTATGTAATTTATATAAATGTAAATTTATAGGATAAGTTTATTATATATAAATATATATGTAAAATTCTGTGCTCAGGATCAACCGTAAGTTTTGCTAATTTCTTTGCCTGCTGTTGCTTTCTGTACCCCTCTCCTTCCTCCTTGATTAAGTCTTTGTTTAGAGAATCCCCTCTATTCTGCGTTGACTTTATTTCCTCGGGAGTAAGTTCCTCTGTCTGTTGACCTTCTGGCTCCCTTCTGTGGTGTCATCTTTCCTTAGATGTTTGGTGGTTCTTTGCTCATCTTTGTGATGGGGCTTTCCCCTGGGATATTAGCTGTGGGAGGGGGGGCAGCTGCTGCCAGTACAAGGCCTCTTTCAGTGCAGTGGGTGGGGGTGGGATGTCCCTAGATGGGGTGCCTCAGGAGCTGGCCTTCTGGAAGCTGGAACTCCTGGTCCCTCCCGGGTGCCACCTGTGATCTGGGCACTGCCTCCCTCTGAGTGACCCGTAGGTACTACTCCCTCAGATCTAAACACCACTGCCCCGCTGGTCAGCTGGGGTGGGCGGACACTTGGGTACCCGATCAATCCCAGGCCATCGTTCTGTGGTCAGTGGGCAGCCCCATCCTGCTTCAGCCTCCTGCACTCCGGTGTCGAGCACTTCTCGACCGGCCCCACAGCCTGGACCGGGTCGGCTGATGCTTTTTCTCTTTGATCTGGTCCCAGTCTCTTTCCACTGCTCAGGGTCTGTGTCCCTGATAGGTTTTCTTCTTGCTTTCAAATATGGCCATATTTTCTTTCCTTTTAAAAAATCACATCTGATGGTTTTCTTATGGGAAGGGGAGACTGATGTATGTGCTCAGTTGACCTTCCTGAAAGCCAGAGTCTGCGCTTTACAGTTCTATCACATTGCTGACAGCTTAAGCTCCCCCAACCCCCTCCACTTCTAGATGTTCCAGACTCATCGTTAGACAAAACGGGGGAGCACTGGAATTTTAAAGAATTATGGGGCAAAGTGTCATGCTCAAGGGCTCCCCAGCGGAGTGCTCTCCCCTGAGACTTCTGAGGGAAAAGTAGGAGCTGGCCAGGGAAGAAAGCACAGGAGACGGCTGGATGGATGCTGCTGGGGTAGGGAACAGAGTGAACAGAGATCTGGAGGTGTGAGAGCATGCAGAGCTGGTGCGGTGGAAGTCAGAGCAGCACGAGCAAGTGTGGTGAGAGCCCCAGAAAGGAGGTCCCTTTGAAGAGAAGTCACAAAACTGTCTGTCACATGTTTCAGATGTGAGACCCCAGCAGCCCTGGCCGCAGACTGAAGCCTGGAGAGCACAGAGTCCACCCTCTATCGTCCAGATAGCCGCTGTCCTGCCCCAAGGGCCCAGCATGGGTCAGAAGCGAGCTGACGCTTCTTGACCTCTGTTTTTGGAAAACTGTGTCCAAAGGCTGGTTTCCTGCGAAGTTACGGAAACTTACGTCTCAGGGCTCCTCAGGACCCTCCCAAGGCTGCTGGAGGGTGGGGGCACCCCAGTTCAGTGTTTACATGGTCATATGTTTTCCTTAAAACATGGAGAAAGTAAGATATTTTTGTAGTTACATTTGAAAAGGATGTCCAAATGATATAAGCTTTGGGCCCCACAGGACCTGAATCTGTCCCTGACTGTGTCATCAAGAAAGGAAGGCGTGCCCTAACCGGTTTGGCTCAGTGGATGGAGCGTCGGCCTGCGGACTCAAGGGTCCCAGGATCGATTCCGGTCAAGGGCATCTACCTTGGTTGCAGGCACATCCTCAGTAGGGAGTGTGCAGGAGGCAGCTGATCGTTGTTTCTCTCTCATCGATGTTTCTGACTCTCTATCCCTCTCCCTTCCTCTCTGTAAAAAATCAATAAAATATATTTTTTTAAAAAAAGAAAAAGAAAGGAAGGAGTTAGGCCCAGTTTGCAGGGGGTTGGGTAGATGATCAGGGTGGAGAAAGAAATCGGAAAAAAGGTTAATCCACTTGGGGAAGATACATCACATGTGAGTAGTACTGGCTCTGAGAAAGCAAAATTTAAAAAGATCAGATGATGTTAGTGGACTGCAAGCCAAACTCCCGACAGTGATGGTCAGGACCGAAGGGCGAACGCCTGCAGCAGTGACCGATGATATGAATGTGTTTTTTGGCCATTTTCCAGGACAAGGCAGTTAAATGGCACCTGTACTGGCTTGGTGGACATGGAACTCTTTCTCCATTACTCCCTCATCCCATCAGTAAGTAAAGCAGGAGAGGGTGGAGGAGGGGATGGAAGAGGAACTGGGCTGCTCCCACACACAAGCTCCCATAGTGGCCTGAAGAGGTCAGCAGATTTCTTGACGTTACACACTAGAAACACAGGCAGAAGAAGGCTTTTAAGGGTGTAGAGTCGGAGATCCTGGCTTTTCAGGGAAGCAATGATGGAGCTAGGTTCTATTGGAAGATGCAAGAGAGAGCATTTCAGGCAGAAGGAAGGGCATGTGCAAAGGTTCTCTGTGTGCGTATGTGTGCGGGGAGGATTGGAGAGTGTGAGTAACCGGGAGGGCTGGTGTGGCTGGGGTGAATTGAGGTGGAGCTATCCAGGGAGGTGGGCAGGGCCAGGCCAGGAGGAGCCCTGTAGGGCTCTGTGCAAAGGGGGTTTGTCTTTATTCCAAGTACATTGGGAAGTAATTAGAGTGTTTCTGGCATGAGGGTGGTGTGATCAGATTTATGTTTTGAAATGATCACTCTGGTTGCAGTGTTGGGATCATGTTGGAGGCGGGCCAGAGAGGCCGCAGGAAGACCAGTTAGGAGAAGGTTGTGGGGGTCCAGGTGAGAGGCAGTTTTACCTCATCCTAGATGATGGTGGTCAACTCAAGACATTTGGGAGCAAAAGCAATAGGACTTGGTAATGGATTGGATAGAGAAGTTAAGGAGAGGGAGATGATGGGGATGACTCTGGTTTCTAACTTGCACAGCTGGGAGGATGGTGGTATCTGCCATTTTCTAGTTAAGGAAGATATGAAGAGGTCCGGGTTTGGGGTGGATGAAGGAATTGGGCAGGGAGGAAAATCATGAGTTTCATGTAAGATGTACTGAATTCAAGAATCTTTCACAAAGAAATGCCAGCTGTGTATTTGGAACAATTATGGAGCTCAAGGGCAAGTCTGGGCTAAAGATCAAGTTTGTGAGTCTTCTGTGTATTGGTGGTCATGGAAAGCATGGACATGGTTGAGATTGCTGAGGAAGAGAGGATCGGGTAATAAGAAGAGTGTTCCTTGGACTGAACTAGGAGGAATTCCAAATCTCATGGTTGGATAAAGAATGATCTAACAATGGAGACTGAGACGTCATGGAGAAAACCCAGGAAAGCATGGAAGGCTAGGGAGGAGTGATTCTAAGAAGAGGAGGTATAAGGAATGCTGCTGGAAGGTCAAGCCAGAGTTGAGCTTCAAGTTTACATCATATGAAACAACAAGATGGTGATTAGTGACTTTAGCCAGAGCTGTTTCCATGGAGCAATGAGGGCAGGTTAGGAGGTTGAAGAGCAAGTGAGAGGCAAAGAAATGGAGTCAGCAAGTGTAGACAAGTCTTAAGAAGTTTCTGGTAGAAAAGAAGAAGAAAGGGCCTCAACTATGTGAGAAAATGACTGAATCCACAAGGGGAAAAAGCAAAGAAGGATTTGCAACCTGACAGTTATTTTCCCCTTTTTACAGATGAGGAAACTGAGATTCGGAGAAGTTAAGTCTCTCTCTCAGCCAGTTTATGGAAGAGACTAGATGTGAGCTCACGTCTGTTCAGGGCAACCCAAAGGAAAGCTCATTACAAAACATTCTGGAAGCTCCAGGGTGTGTGCAGCTCTCTGTGCCTCTGGCGTTTGAGCAGAGCACACATGCTAAGTGCTTTGCTCACCCACACGTGTCATTCAGAGCTGACACCAAGGCCACGCCCAGGATGAATATTCCCACTGACTCTCTCATCTTCTTCCCCTGTAGCTTTTCATCATTTTGGTCTTGTCCTTTCTCCAAAGACGGGAGCACTGCAAACAGAGAGATGACACTTCTTCCCTCTTGGGGAACCACTTTGGAATTATCATGTAAGTAGAGCCAGGGCTGGTCACTGCAGCTTCTGGTATCAGTGATTGGAGCCAACACCAATTGTCAGGCCAGGATAACTCCCAGTTACCTCTCCCACTCGACCTCGGCCTCCCTGTGGACAGCCTTGCCCCAACCCAAACCAAGCCCTGAGAGTTCAGAATTGGCTTCCAAGCCATTGTATCCTAGGCACCCAAGGGTGCCCAGATATGCTTACTAGTAAAACAGCTCAAGGAGGCTCAGATCTTCCTACAGTCAGCACTATGGCTACACCAGGAAGCAGGGGGGAGCGAGTTCCCTGTCCCTGACGGCAGCATGCCTTCTGTTGGGATGGCACCATGAGTCCTGCACCAGGAGAGCCCACTGGACCAGGGCACTTTCAGGGCCTTTCTAGCCCTGCTATTCTGAGTCTCTGCACACCTGACCACATTTTTCCTTAAGGTCTAATTGTTCATTCTCTTCTTCATTATCGTTAATATTTATTATTGCACACCGACTGTGACCCAGGCACTGAATGATTTGATTTGCCTGCGTTACTTCGGAGGACCCTTGTGGGGGCTAGGGGGGGGAAAGGATATTTCCTGGATGGGAGGGGAGCGCTTGGGCCTAAAGAGGGTAAGTGAAGTCCCAAGGACAAAGGACAGGAAGGGACGGAGGTTGAAAGCGGGGTTGGTTGGAAGGTGGCCGGAATCCGCAAGCATGGATCCAAGAAGGACAGAAATTGGAAAGGCGTAGGCTTGGGGAGGGAGGGGGTGAGGGGGGGGGGCGAAGAGGGAGAGCGGGCGAGGGAGAGCGTGA